ATATCGCCCGTCCAGCGAGGGAAGCCCCTGGAATTTTGCAGTGCAGGTGAACGGGGTGATCGTGTCGGCCAAGACTGACACGCGCGCGGCGACCGCCGATGTGGATGTGAACGGGGACGGGGCTGCAGACGTGACCCTTCAGCTTGGTCCGGTGATCAGGGGTACGGCCCTGCGCGATATCCTGCCATTTGTCGATTTCTCATCCTTCACTGACCAGATCGAGTTCGCCCAGTTGTCGCGCTCCCTGAACACGCGCGCCTACGAGACCGCTCTGAAGGACCTTCCACGCGATGCTCTTGCAGGACAAACGGTCGATGCGATCGGCGCGTTCACCGAGCGTGGCAAGGGACCGCCCTATCTCGTGACGCCGGTGTCAATGAAGGTTGGCGGACAATGACGTCGGCACGACACGAAATCGGTCTTTCAGTACGCGGTGCCAACAAGGTCTATCCGGGCACCGTAGCGCTGAAGGATGTCAGCTTCGACGTGCATCTGGGAGCCGTCAACGTTCTGGTCGGAGAGAACGGCGCAGGCAAGTCGACGCTGATGAAGGTCATTGCCGGTGTCGAACAGCTGACCTCCGGTGAAATCCTGATGGACGGCGAGATCAAGGTTTTTCCGGATACGCGCGCAGCGGCGACCGATGGCATCGGCATCGTCTTTCAGGAACTGAACCTGTTTCCGAACATGACGGTCTCCGACAATATCTTCATCGCCCGTGAGAAGACCCGGGGCGGTGTCGACATCTGCGCTCAGAAGCAGAAGGAAGACGCCGCGGAGCTTATGAAACGGCTGGAGCACGATATCTCGCCCGATGCACTGGTGTCCGACCTGAGGATCGGCGAACAGCAGATCGTAGAGATTGCCAAGGCGCTCGCCCAGGATGCACGCATCCTGATCATGGATGAGCCGACCTCCGCGCTGAGCGCGGCCGACGTCGAGATCCTGTTCCGCGTCATCGAGGACCTGAAAAAGCGCGGTGTCGGCATTGTCTACATCTCGCACCGCCTCGAGGAGCTGATCAGGATCGGTGACTACATCACGGTTCTAAGGGACGGGGTGCGCACCGGCGCGCGTTCGATGGAGGGCGTGGATGTTCAGTGGATCGTGCAGAACATGATCGGCGCGGCCTCGAAGGATTTTGCGAAATCCGTCGAACATGAATTCGGAGAGCAGGTGTTCCGGTGCGAGGATATCTGCCTGACGGGGCGTACCGAGAAGCTCGTCGTCGATCACGTGTCTCTGTCCTTGCAGGCGGGGGAAATCGTTGGCATCTACGGATTGATGGGCGCAGGGCGTTCCGAGCTGTTCGAATGCATCATGGCACAGCATCCGACTTGCCGTGGATCGTTCTTTGTCGACGACCGGTTGCTTGACGAACCGGATGTTGCCGGCCGCATCGCGCGCGGGCTGGCACTCATCCCCGAAGACCGGAAATCGGAAGGACTGATTCAGATCCTGCCGATCCGCGAGAACATGTCACTATCCAGTCTCAGCAAATTCGTGCGGCATATCCAGTTGAACCTCCGACGTGAACGTGAAGAGGTTGGCCGGTTCGTGAAAGATCTCGCGATCAAGATCGCTAGCATGGAAAACCCGGTAAGTTCGCTTTCCGGCGGCAACCAGCAGAAAGTCGTCATCGGCAAGGCCCTGATGACAGCACCCCAGGTGCTCCTCATGGACGAGCCCAGCCGGGGCATCGACATTGGTGCAAAGGCCGAAGTGTTCCGGACGATGCGAAAGCTCGCCGCGGAGGGGCTCGGTATTCTTTTCGTCACGTCGGACCTGGAAGAGGTCATGTCCCTTTCAGACCGGATCATCGTCATGTCGAATGGCCGGATCACAGGGGAATTCGACGGGGGCAATGCATCCGAAGAACAGATTATAGCCGCGTCCGCGATCGGTCATGCACCTGATCGCGTGCCAGGCCAGAAGAATGGGAGACTTCACGCATGACGTCGATAACAGCAACTGAGCGCCAGGGCGCTGCGGGCGGTCAGTCCATGATACTGCTGCTCCTGAAGCTTCGTACCTTTATCGCGCTTATTGCCGTGTTTGCCTTTTTCTCCTTCGCGGCTCCGAATTTCCTGAGCGCCGCCAATTTCGTGATCATGTCCAAACATGTGGCGTTGAACGCGTTTTTGGCCATCGGGATGACCTTTGTCATTATCACCGGTGGCATCGACCTCTCGGTCGGATCCATCGTAGGTCTGTGCGGCATGGTCGCTGGCTACCTGATCCTGAACGGTGTGGATCTCGGGATCGGATATTCGCTTTATTTCAATCTCTTCGAAATCATCCTGATCACGCTGGCTGTCGGTGTCCTTGTCGGCGCGGTGAACGGGATGCTGATAACGCGGTTGAATGTCGCGCCGTTCATCGCGACGCTTGGAACGCTATACGTTGCTCGCGGTCTTGCTCTGCTGTCTTCCGACGGTGCCACGTTCCCGAACCTGGTTGGCAACGAAGCCTACGGTTCAACCGGGTTTTACCGTCTGGGGGCCGGCAGTTTCCTGGGTATCCCGATCTCGATCTGGCTGCTGATCACCGTCGGCCTGTCGGCGGCCTATATCGCGGGAAGAACGCCTCTTGGGCGTCATATCTATGCCGTTGGAGGAAATGAAAAGGCAGCAGCGCTTTCCGGCGTGAAGATCAAGCGTGTGAAGATGTTCGTCTACATGTTCTCCGGATTTTGCGCGGCTATCGTCGGCCTGGTGATATCTTCCCAGCTGGTCGCTTCTCATCCGGCGACGGGAGAGACCTTTGAACTCAACGCCATCGCGGCGGCTGTGCTTGGCGGAACGTCGATGTCCGGCGGGCGCGGGCGGATCGGCGGAACGATCGTCGGTGCATTCGTGATCGGTGTCCTGTCTGACGGGCTTGTCATGATGGGCGTCAGTTCTTTCTGGCAAACGGTCATCAAGGGGCTGGTGATCATTGCGGCCGTCGTGGTTGATCAGGCACAACAGAGACTGCAAGCGCGGGTCGCGCTGCAACAACAGGCACTGGCGGCGTAAAGGGGGAAAAATGAAAAAGGGAGCTCTCATAGGGTGCGGGTTCTTTGCCCAGAATCATCTGCATGCCTGGCAAGAATTGAGCGGCGTCGAGATTTCGGCCCTGTGTGACCGGGATACTGCCCGGCTCAGGGGGACAGCTGACAGGTTCAATATCGAACGCACCTACGCGGATGCCGCCGAGCTCCTGAATGCTGAGGAGCTGGACTTTGTCGATATTGCTACGACGGTCCAGACCCATCGCCCGCTTGTCGAACTTGCAGCGACTTCGGGGGTCAACATCATTTGCCAGAAGCCATTCGCCGATACCATGGAGGATGCACAGGCGATGACGCGTGCTGCCGACGATGCCGGCGTAACACTGATGGTGCATGAAAATTTCAGGTGGCAGTCGGCCATCCGGGCGGTGAAGGACGTCCTGGACAGTGGACGGATTGGAAACCCTTTCTGGGGCCGCGTGAGTTTTCGCTCCGCCTACGATGTCTATTCAGGCCAGCCTTATCTTGCGACAGACGACCGCTTCATCATTCAGGACCTCGGCATTCACATACTGGATATCGCCCGTTTCCTTTTCGGTGATGCACGCTCCATTGCCGCGAGCACAAAGCGCGTCAATCCGCTGATCAAAGCAGAGGATGTGGCGACCATGATGCTGGTTCACGAGACCGGGGTCACCAGCATTGTCGACTGCAGCTATGCTTCCTTGCTGCCGCGCGAGAACTTTCCCGAAAGCCTCCTTGAGGTCGACGGGCACACTGGGTCATTGAGACTGTTGCCCGGCTATCAGCTTGTGATTCAGTCTGCCGACGGCACCGAGCAGCAGGACGTTTCCCCGCCCTTGCTGCCCTGGGCCGAGCGGCCATGGCACAACATCCAGGAAAGCGTGCGCAACATACAGGAGCACTTTATCGACTGCCTGAACGCGTCTGCTTCGCCCGAAACGTCGGGTAAGGACAATCTGAAAACGCTGGAGTTGGTCGAGGCTGCCTATCTGTCTGCCACCGACGGAAATCGAACCATTCAGCTGACCGGTTCATGAACATGTCCGTTTCCGAAGGACAGCGCCTTTTCGGCACCGGCAAACCACCGGCACCTCATCGTATACTGCGCGCGGGTGCGCTGGATGTGCGGCTGGAAAACGGAAATCTGAGATATGTGAAATTCGGCGGCGTCGAAATTCTGCGCGCTGTCTCCTATGTCGTCCGCGACAGGGACTGGGGAACGCTTGAACCGGCAATGACGGATCTGGAAATCGAGGAGGAGCCCACCGGTTTCCGCATCACCTATCAGGCGACGTATGAGAACCAGGGATCGCTCCTCACGGTGGAGACCGAAATTTCGGGCGAAAGCTCCGGCACTGTCGAATTCGTTGCAACAGCATGCGCGGACCGGGATTTTGAAACCAATCGCACCGGTTTCAATATCCTGCATCCAATAGAGGGTGTTTCCGGTTCAAATGTCACCGTCGAGCATTGTGACGGCTCACTAGAAGAAACCGTTTTCCCCGATTTGATCGAACCTTGGCAGCCGTTCAAGTCAATACGCGCCCTGACCCATGCGCCTTGCAATGGCCTCAGGGCGACGTGCCGCATGGAAGGGGATGTCTTTGAAATGGAAGACCAGCGGAACTGGTCCGATGCATCCTACAAGACCTATGTCCGTCCGATTGAATTGCCCTGGCCTTACCGGATACCCGCCGGCGAGACGCACCGGCAGGCAGTTAGCCTATCGATCACGTCGCAGGAACCGCGAGCGGCTCCCGCGCGCCAGAATGTGGATGTGGTCGTCATCGAACCCGGCCCACCCAGCGAAATCGCGTTCCCGACGGTTGGATTGCTCGTATCCCCCGAGGATGCTGGACAGGCCATCAGGACAGCCGAGCTTCTGGCGCGTGTCGCTCCGCACGCCATCCTCTGTCACATCGACCCCACCGCGGGACACAATAGAGAGGCGCTCGAGGATTTCAGGAGACTGCAGGACGAGCTACACCTGCCGTTCGACTTGGAGTACGTCGTCGGATCAAGAACGAAGCTGGAAGATGAGTTCGAGCGTTTGCGTGACAGCGTTGCCGGGTCAGGACTTGTTCTGAGTTCACTCGCGGTTTGTCCGTCTGTCGACAGGCAGTCGACACCGCCGGGAAGCAAGTGGCCGGACTGTCCGCCGCTGCAGAGCGTGTACGAGGCGGCCCGGAAGTTCTTTCCCGATGTTCCCTTGGGAGGCGGGATGTTCAGCTATTTCACGGAACTGAACCGGAAGCGTCCCCCCCTGGATCTTCTGGATTTCGTGACCCATGCAACGAACCCGATCGTCCATGCGGCGGACGACATCAGCGTCATGGAGACACTGGAAACACTGCCTCATATCACGCGGTCCGCGCGCGCCATCATCGGGAACCACGCTTCCTACAGGATTGGCCCCTCCAGCATCGGGATGCGCCAGAATCCTTACGGGTCGCGCACATTCGAAAACCCCGACGGAGACCGGATCTGCATGAGCCATGACGACCCGCGTCAACGCGGTCAGTTCGCCGCGGCCTGGACGATCGGATATGCGGCGGCAATCGCTTCCGCCGGTGTCGAAAAGTGGGTGCCGTGTTCATTTGCAGGCCAAAGGGGACTTGTGAGGCAGGAGGATGGAGCCCTTCTGCCGGTTGGCCGGGCCGTCAGTAGGCTGACGCGACTGCGCGAAAAACGTTTGCTTCAATGCAGCAACACCGCCCCCCGCCGGGTTGCGGCACTTTGCGTCGACGCTGGAGCGCAACCGGACTTTTTGATTGCCAATCTTACGCCAGAGCAAGTTCAGGTTGACTGCCGAAAGCGTGTGAGCCTTAAGCCTTACGAAATCCTGTGGCTATAGGTGCAGGGACTGACACCATTGCTCGCAGCCCGGTTGTCAGCGATATACTATCGTGGCGGTCAACAATGAGAGCGATTTGGCGGGTTATGGAAAACTGGAATGGCTCCGGAGCCGGCGAGGAAAAGATCACCCGGCAAAAGCTCTCCGATCAGGTTTTCGAACGGCTGCGTGAAATGATCGTGCGTGGAGATCTTGCGCCCGGTGATCCCATGCCTTCGGAACGTGAGCTGATGAAGCGGTTCGGCGTGGGGCGTCCCGCCGTGCGGGAAGCCATGCAGATCATGCACACGCAGGGTCTCATCACGATCTCCCAGGGCGAGCGCTCAAAGGTGAGTGAGCTGTCCGCGGATCTGGCGTTCCGGCAGATGGACATGGTTGCCAGGATGCTGTTGTCCTCGTCTTCGGACAATCTCGAACATCTCAAGGAGGCGCGCCGGTTGTTCGAGGTCGGGATGGTCAAGATTGCCGCGCAGTCCGCAACGCCTGCGGATGTTGCGGATCTGAAACAACTGGTCGACGACCAGAAGAAGATGCTTGGCAACCCCTCTGACTTCATCCGTGTCGATATCGCCTTTCACAGCAAGATTGCCTCCATGTCGGGCAATCCGATCTTTGCGGCTGTTAGCGATGCGATGCTCTCGTGGCTTTTCAACTACCACACCGACCTGCTGATCTGGTCCGGAAGGGAAAACGTGACGCTTGAAGAACACACGGAAATTGTCGCGTGCATCGAAAGGGGCAGCGCAGCGGACGCGGAAAACGCGATGCGCTCGCATCTGGACAGGTCGCAGGACCTTTACCGGCACCATGACTGACCGGGTTTGGGCCAACTCCATTTAAGTTTTGTCGTTGTGACGTACGACGCTCTTTTGGTGTGCTGATTACCTGGTGGCGTCAGTCCTGAAAGAATTCCGGTTTTTCCAATCTGATCTTTTCGAGAATTTTTTCGATCCTGCCGAGGTGCTCGGTCAATGCTGGTTCGATGCGCGACTTGTCCCGGTTCTGGAGTGCGTCGATCAGAACGATATGGTCTTCGTACGCGGATTGTGCTGCTCCGATCGTCAACGAGATGAACCTGACGCGGTCCATATGGGGAGTGGAAAAAGCTTGGGGATCAAGCTGCTCTGAGTTTTCCTTCTGTTCGCCTGCCGGGCAGAGCATTGCCCAAACATCGTTCATGCCATCTGCTGCGGCGCGACCTGCTCGATAGCGGCATGCCCGACGGCGTTTGAGGCTTCTGGTGCGGATCGACAGGGCCTTCTTCGCAATACAGCCGATAAAGGCGCTTGTGGTTTACATGCCACCCTTCGCGCTTCAGAAGGATGTGCAAACGGCGATAGCCATACCGAACCCGGCTTTCCGCCAAGTCCTTCAGGCGCATCCGCAATTCCACTTCCGGGTCTCGCCTGGAACGATATCGATGGGAAGCCCGCCCAAAGCCCATGGCGTCGCAAGCGCGTCGTTCAGACACTTCAAAGACATCCTGATAGTGACTTACGACTTCTCGGCGGCGGACAGGCTTCACCACTTTTTTTCAAGGCATCCTGAAGCATGGTCTTGTCCAGCGTCAGATCGGCCACAAGGCGTTTCAGTTTCGAGTTCTCGTCTTCGAGCTGCTTAAGTCGCCGGATCTCGGAAACGCCCATTCCGGCATAAACCTTCTTCCATCGATAAAACGTTGCCTCGGCAATACCCATCTTCCGACAAATCTCGCAATTGTCGTACCAGATTTCACTTGCCTCAACGCAAACGCGATCTGCTCATCTGAAAACCGTTTCTTCGGCATCGGGACACTCCTCTCTCACTAGAAATGTACCCAAAAATTCGCACTCAAATCGGACCAGTTTCACGGGTCAAGACCAAGTAATCGAGATCTTCAAGACTTTAGGCCGGTGACGTCTTCTCCGTAATGCGCGAGGATTTGCCGTAGCAAGCTTGTCGTGCGTCATTCTCAAGTAAATTCAGAGACCTAATTGCCGGGATTCAAATCTTTGGTTGAAAATGCTGAGATTCAGAATAGCCTGACCGTCGAAGCTCTATGAATTTTCAACGGAAAGAATTCTATGCGTTTCCTGGCTTTGTTCTCGATACTATATCTGTTTGTTGTTCAACCTGCGACCGCCGGCGGACGGCATGTGCTGCTGATCGGTAACTCCGAATATACCCATGCACCATTGCTGGATAACCCGCAAAACGATACGGCACTATTGGCGCAGTCTTTCGAGACACTCGGATATAAAGTTACGCGTTTGACCAACCTGACGCGCGCCGCAACGACACGTGCGCTGCAGAAGTTCCGGAATGTCACAACGGGCGCCGAGGCGGCAATAATCTACTTCGCCGGCCACGGAATTGAAGTCGACGGCAAGAACTACATGGTTCCCGTTGATGCTGCCCTAAGAAGTGATCTGGATGTCGAGTTTGAGGGAATACCGCTTGAGCTTGTTGTTGCCGCGGTCTCCGGGGCTGACGGCCTGAGCATTGTTGTTCTCGATGCCTGCCGGGACAATCCTTTCGCGGCACAGATGACCCGGTCGGGCGGTACCCGATCCATAGGCCGGGGTCTCGGCGGTGTTGAACCAACACGGCGCAATCAACTCGTCGCATATGCGGCAAAGGCTGGAACCGTTGCCTATGACGGCGACGGTGACATGAGTCCTTACGCATCCGCTTTCAACGATGCCCTTCAAGAACCGGGCCTGGACGTTAGCCTGTTTTTCCGTCGGATCCGGGATCGTGTGATGGATTTGACAGACGAAAGACAAGAGCCTTTCCATTACGGGTCGCTTTCTAGTGATGAAGTTTTCATATCTCCACCATCACGAACGGACGACGTCGCACCGGCAATAACTGGGAACGCCTCCACCGGTCAGCCCGCGGTGGAAACGCTCACGGGGCCGGAGAAGATTGCACGGGATTTCGGGTTTGCCCAGCAGATCGGTACCGAGGCCGCCTGGAACAGCTTTTTGGAGAAATACGGGGAGTTGAAGGAGGATTTCTATGTCAAACTTGCGCTCGCAGCGCTAGGCACCGCCCCTTCCGAGCCAAAAGTAACCAAAGAGAGCGCCGTGCGTGATTGGGCTATTTTCCGCGACGGTGACCCTCAGGAGTGCTGGGTGGCGACACAGCCAAACCGGTCTCAAGGATATCTGAAGAACGGACGCCAAGCAGCTGTAAACATCGGCGAGGTGTATATGCTTGTCACTGCGCGGAAAGGTTCTAGTGAAGTTGCTGAAACCTCCCTATCTTATGAATTTGGGATTTCGAGATCACCCTCTCCAGAACTCTTCGTCAACGGACGAACATTTAAGCTTTTCCCTGATGATCGATCGAGTGGATGGATTTGGTTAGAAAACAAGACTGCGGACGCAAACCTTTCGAAGGAACTAAAGCGTGCATCTGAGTTCACCGTGACTGTGCATAGCAAACGAGGTACGAAGGTTATTTCAGAGTTCTCCGCTATAGGCTTCGCCGAAGCATTGAATAAGATGGTATCACAATGCAAATTCTGAAATTGCTTAAGGGCAATTGAGCTGCTGCCGGTTTTGAGGACGCCGAGATAAGGTGTTTTTGAAACTGGAGAATAGAAATGACGAGACGACAATATAGCCGCGAGTTCAAGCAAGAGGCGGTTCAATTGATCACTGAGCGCGGCGTGAGCGTTGCCCAGGCGGCCCGGGACCTTGATTTGCACCAGACAGTACCTCGCCGTTGGGTTCAGCAACACCGGGCTCATCCCGATACAGCCTTTCCCGGCAAGGGTCAGATACGACCGGAGGATGATGAAGTCCGCCAACTGCGGCAGGAGGTAGCCAGGCTCAAAGCCGAACGGGACATTCTAAAAAAAGCCGCGGCCTTCTTCGCCAAAGACCAGTTCTAGGGTTCGGGTTTATAGCGAAGCACCGGGGGATCTGGCCGGTCAGTTGGATGTGTGGGGCGCTCGGTGTCTCACGGAGCGGCTTCCATGCCTGATTGGTCCGGCCTCCCAGTGCACGGGCCAGAAGCGGTGAGGCTCTTGGCCCGCGTGTGCGGGTGAGCTTCCTTCTCAGTGATCGAACTTATGGCGCTCGGCGTGTTTGGCGCGACATGCTCGAGGAAGGCTTCGCTTGTGGCTTACATCGCATAGAGCGGCTGATGCGCCTGCATGGGACTGCGGGCTCGCCCGCGCCGGCGTCAACTTCCCAAAGATAAAGGAATACGCTCCGTCATCGCGCCGAATGTGCTTGACCGGGACTTCGCAGCGGAAGGGCCGAACCAAAAATGGGCTGCAGACTTCACTTATATCTGGACCGCTCAAGGTTGGTTCTATCTTGCCGTGGTGCTTGATCTCTTCTCTCGACGCATCGTCGGTTGGTCCATGAAAGATACGATGACCGCACAGATGGTGACCGACGCTCTGATGATGGCAATCTGGCGGCGAGGCCGTCCTCAAGCCGTGCTTCATCACTCCGATCAGGGCAGCCAGTATACCAGCGAAGCCTTCCAGCAATTGGTGGCAGACAATGGCATCAACTGCTCGATGAGCCGATCGGGTAATGTCTGGGACAATGCGGCAATGGAAAGCTTCTACTCCTCGCTCAAAACTGAGCGGGTCGGGAACAAGGTCTACCGAACCCGTGATCAGGCCAGGCTCGATCTTTTCGACTATATTGAGCGCTTCTACAACCCGAAGCGCCGTCACTCGACACTGAGCTATCTCCGTCCAATAAAGTATGAGGAGAATGCTATGCGAGCTTAACTTGCAGTCCATCAAACCGGCAGCAGCTCAAGCGGCCGTGAAAGCGTTAAGCTCAGGCTTGGCAGTAAATGAGGGCATTTTGTCAGTTTGTGCTAAGAAACTAACTGTTAGTCTGTCCGCAGTGTTTTGACGTCTTTTTGGCGGACATAGATTAACCAAATAAAGCCTCACAATTTTTGAAGCTAGGAGGTTGCTCATATGGACAGTCCAGTTTTTGTGGTTCTTATTGATGGGACCGGACCTTATGACGATCAGCAATATGCCCGCGATTTTGAGAACTCATTTTTGCATCAGATTCACAAAAAATTGGGTGCTACCAAGTCGGTCTACTTTTCAGGTCCTGGTACACTCGGCATGACCACAAGATCGCGCGCAAACAACGGGTATGATTCGTTGGTGGCCCGACGAGCGCAAAATCGTAAATGCAGGCTCTTTATAGCGGGATACAGCCGTGGAGGAGCTGCGGCGATGGAACTGGCAAAGATTTGTGCCTATGGGAAAATGGATGGAGATGGACAGCAGAGTGTCCACGAAGTAGTCCCCATCGAAGCGCTTTTTCTTCTCGATCCCGTCTCGAAGGACGTTTTCTGCCCAGGAGGTGGAATACCGAACAACGTCAGGACGAGCTATGTGATGTACCGTGACAAAACGATCTGGGAATACAGTCCTGAATTGAAGACCGAGGATTTTGCGTCTTGGGTCGACAAGACTCTAGTTGTCGGATTCAACAATACACTGCAATTTGATCCGGATAGGTATGCGCGCAAGTTTATGAATAATGCATCCTATACTCCAGCAGCAGGGAACGGGCGAACCGACATGCGCAAAGGTGTGACAATCAGGGCCGCTTCGCATGGTGCGGTAGGTGGATTGCCATGGGTCGAACGTAGGGAAGACGAAGCCGCCGTAAATACCGCTGGAAGTCTACTAAGCGGCTGGCTCAACGAGCAGCGAATTGGCGTTACGGTGAAGGATCATTCCTATACTGAAGCAAACAAGCGTAAGTACCCAAGAGTGACGCAGCAAGGTGTCGAAGCCGAAAAACGAAAACGCCAATCTGAGATCAACAAGATCAAGAGCGACCCACGGTATCAGGCGACGCAAGTGCGACGACCCTATTGAGAGCTAGTGTGACGCTAGAAACTGAATAGCCCCCAGAAATGTAGACGCTTTCTTTCCTAAATTTGAGGCAAGGAGGCCAAAGTGGGCAATTCCAGTTTCAGTGATGATTTCAAGCGAGATGCGGTAGTGCAGATTACCGAGCGGGACCGCTCCCGGACTGCAAGTTTGATTGTTCTGTCAGCTGGACCAATCTTCGAGCCAACAACTGTGGAGACCATGCACTTCAACGGCAAGAACGCGAGAATCCGCCTGGTCGACAATGCCGCGAACCTCATCGAACCGTGGAGATCCCTTGGGAGAATGGATCAGGGGCAGGTTCCGAGCTATTTGGTTTGAACCATGTGAGCCCGGTAGTCACTTTGACGTTCGATCATCCAGCCGGGATATTCCGCCGGGAGTTTGGTCACCGCTTCGAGCGCGGCAAGATCTTCCCTCGACAAGGAGACGTCTGCTGAACCGATATTGTCGGAAAGCTGGTCTAGGTGTTTGGCGCCAAGTATGACGCTCGTGACGACTTTCTGATGCAGCAACCATGCAAGCGCCACTTGTGGAACGCTGCAGCCCGACCTCATTGCGATCGCCCTCATCACGTCGATTGCCTCAAATGCGCGGTCCTTGTTGAGCGGCGGGAAGTCAAAATTTACGCGGCGACCCTCAGACGTTGTGCCGGTTCGATCAAATTTTCCACTTAGAAATCCGCCAGCAAGTGGGCTCCAAACCATCAAACCGACGCCTTCGGAAAGCAGCATGGGAACAACTTCACGCTCAAGATCGCGGCCGGCAAGCGTATAGTAGGCTTGCAGTGAAACTATCGGTGCTAGTTGCCGCGCGGCGGTAATCCCGATGGCCTTAACGACTTGCCAGGCCGCCCAGTTCGACAAACCCAGATAACGAACATGACCTTGACGCACCAGTGTGTCGAGGGCTTCGAGCGTTTCCACGATTGGAGTTGCAGGATCAAAGCCGTGGATCTGATAAAGATCGACATGATCGAGCTGGAGTCGCTTCAGGCTGGCTTTTGCCTGGTCAAGGATATGACCCCGTGAGGATCCACGTGCATTCGGGCTATCGCCCATGGGGCCGTGCACTTTGGTCGCAATCACCACGTTTTCGCGCGGTACTCCCACATTCTTGAGGGCCTGGCCGAGAATTTCTTCGCTTTTCCCCGTCGCATAGATATTCGCGGTATCGATGAAGTTGATACCAGCGTCCAGTGCGGTTTTCAGGAGATTATCGGCTTCATCTTGCTGGAGTTTTCCGATCTGCCCCCACATGTCATCTGATCCACCAAAGGTCATGGTGCCGAGGCGAAGTTCTGAAACGAAGAGACCGCTTCGGCCAAGTTGCTTGTAACGCATAATGGGTGTCCTGCAATGAATGTTCCGCTGTCAGAGTGACAACGCTCTTCCCAAGATATGAGGCACGGAGGCCGGGTTCTGCGACGCTGATCCTCGCTAAATATTGCCTGATCCTCTCAATCCGCTCAGGGTGGGCTGTTCAATCCCGGATGGCCGGGTAAAGTATCGAAATGACGAATTTGCAGTTGGATACCCTGACAGATAACGCATTGTCGCTCTGGCGTGCGCATGGGCGCGAAACGCCGCTAAGCGGCGTTTTCGTGGCGTGTTCCGAACAGCCCAAGGGGCCGGTCCACAGTGTTTATCAGCCGTCACTTTGTGCAGTGCTCCAAGGCGAAAAAGTAAGCAGGGTTGGAGTGCGAACCTATCGCTACGACGCCGGGAAATGCCTGATTACCTCATTGGAGGTGCCGGTGCGGGCAGAGATAACTTCCGCCACCGAGAAACAACCCTATGTGGCACTGGTCGTCAATATTGATCCGGCTGTGGTCGCTGAACTGTTGCTTGAGTACATGTGCACACAAGACGAGTCGGAAACGGCATCCGAAGCACTATGTGTTCATCCTCTGTCTGACGATCTTGTTGATCCCCTCATCCGGCTTTTGGAGCTGGCCTCGCGCCCCGTCGATATTCCCGTCCTCGCGCCGATGATAAATCGGGAACTAATCTGGCAGCTGCTGAAGGGACCACAACGACACATGTTGCGACAGGTCGGACTGACCGATGGCAAGCTTGCACGTATCGGCAAGTCGATCGCTTGGGTGCGGGAGAATTTTACACAGCCCCTCAGCGTGCCATATCTGGCGACCCTTGCCGGAATGAGTACCGCGACGTTTCACCGTCAATTCAAGGCTGCGACAGCGATGACACCCATGCAGTTTCAGAAGAGCCTGAGACTTCAAGAGGCTCGACGGCTGCTTTTGTCAGAAAGTGCTGATGTGGCGCAGGTTGGTTTCGCGATCGGCTACGAAAGCCCGTCCCAGTTCAGTCGGGAATATCGCCGAATGTTTGGTACTCCTCCCGGACGTGACGGCAACAAGATGCGGAGCTCCATCATGTTGGAAAGCCAAATTTAGGTTTGCCGGGGGCGCGCGTTCGAGAAATACCGTTGACCCGGGCATCGCTTGCCATCAGCAGAACTCCGCGACCGAGGTTACCTTCCTCAGCCTGCTTCAGCACAAGGGCTATCTGCGCATCCGTAAACTTCGATCTCTTCATGGAAATCTCCTCTTCCCGCAAACGGGATCATAACTGGAAAATTCCAGCTCAAAACGGTCCCGAATATTGGAGGCAGATCAGCTGGGGATGCCACCGTGATTAAGCAGTGCCGCGATCTTGCCCTCGTACCTTCATAACTGGCAGACAGATATTCAATTCCCCAATGCCTGAAGGCGATCTGGTGAAAGGCCGTGTCCAAATCAAGATAGGGGTGGACCTTACCCGCCTCCATGGCTCTGGTCATGTCAGTGACAACATTTGCCATGTCCGATGCCAGACCATCGGGATCCAGCGCAAAAACGGCAGCTGCAGGCCTTTACCTACTTTCAGGAATTCATTGAAACGGGAAACCTGTTCTTTGGAGACTGGTCATATGCGTGGGTGGTCTTGACCTTTTGAACCGGCTCGAATTGTGTGCGAGTTTCTGGGCATATCTCTGACGAGAGAGGGGTGTCCCGACGACGGACGTGCCTTCGCCCCGGATATGGACGCGGCCGTCGACCCGCGCTCCGACCTCGCGCCGAGGCGCGGGCAAGGCGGCGATAACTCGCGTCCTGCCGGGCTTGCGCCATTATTGTTTCCCGTCAGCGCGTATGGGTCCAGATAAGCTGATTGCTTAAGGGAGAGATTTTGGCTCATCTTCACTATTCAGGAGTGAAGCATGAGACAGAAGAACGAGCGTCACCGGGATGCAGCAGATCGCACGGTGAAGGACATTCGCTGCAAGACGCGGAAGAGGTACTCCTCAGAAGACAAGATCCGGATTGTGCTGGCAGGCCTTCGGGGTGAAGACAGCATAGCGGAGCTGTGCCGCCAGGAAGGCATTGCCCAGAGCCAATACTACAGTTGGTCTAAGGAGTTCATGGAAGCGGGCCGCAAGCGTTTGGCTGGTGACACCGCCCGGGAGGCCAACACAGGTGAAGTGCAGGATCTGCGTCGTGAAGCGCGAGACCTCAAGGAAGTGGTTGCCGAACAGACTCTCGAACTTCGTCTGCTCAAAAAAAGCGTGCTGGGAGATGGGGGCGACGACGAATGAGATATCCCGCCTCAGAGAAGCTTGAGATCATACGGTTGGTGGAACAATCCCACCTCCCGGCCAAACAGACACTGGACACGCTCGGCATTCCCCGTACCACGTTCTACCGCTGGTATGATCGTTATCAGACAGATGGCCCCGAAGCGCTGGAGGATCGTACGCCAAAGCCGTCACGGGTGTGGAACCGCATACCGGATGATACTCGCGGGCGTATTGTCGAGATGGCATTGGCAGAACCCGAGCTGTCACCACGAGAACTGGCGGTGCGGTTCACCGACACGCAGAAATACTTTGTGTCAGAGGCCTCAGTGTATCGCCTGCTCAAGGCTCATGATCTGATCACCAGTCCGGCCTTCGTTGTCCTCAAGGCTGCCCATGAGTTCCGCGACAAGACCACCACCATCAACCAGATGTGGCAGACAGACTTTACCTACATCAAGATCATTGGCTGGGGCTGGTATTACCTCTCCACCATTCTGGACGACTTCTCGCGATATGTTGTCGCCTGGAAGCTGTGTACGACGATGACTGCTGGTGATGTCACCGACACGCTGGAACTGGCCCTTGAGGCTTCTGGCTGTGATCAGGTTGCCGTTCGCCACAAACCCCGCCTGCTGTCGGACAACGGAGCCAGCTACATCTATGGCGAACTGGCTGATTGGCTCAACGAGCAGGGCATGGATCATGTTCGTGGAGCACCTTACCATCCTCAGACCCAAGGCAAGATAGAACGCTGGCACCAAACCCTGAAGAACCGGATCCTCTTGGAAAACTACTTCCTGCCGGGGGACCTCAACGTCAGCATCGAACGCTTCGTCACCCACTACAATCATCAGCGCTATCATGAAAGCCTCGGCAATCTTACGCCTGCCGATGTTTACTTCGGTCGTGGCGAAAGCATCTTACTCGAACGAGAAAGGATCAAACGAAACACACTCAATCAGCGGCGATTGCAATACCGCAATCAAGCAGCTTAAATTCAACCAACACGATGGGCCAGACCCTCCGCTAAATCACAAAGCCATCTGTTCCAAATACCCTGATGACGGACAGTAAAAGCGGACATGCATATATTGCTCGCAAGCAAACGGTTCCGGCTCTTGTCAGACATTTCCATGGAGCCCTCCCTGATGCAGCCCGGCGCCTCAAAGTTTCCATTCAATTGACATTGTTGGTGGCGTCAATGCCGCCACCGAAGTCCATTGACGATTTCAACAGTAACCAGAGTCTGCACATCCAGTCCCTGAAGAATGTTGTCGCGACAATGGAACAAGGTTGGGAAATCCACTGCTCGCACTGATCAATGCGGTGCATGGTCCAAAGGCGCTTTCTTGAACCGCAGTCGCGTTGCGATCAGGACACCGCTGACAATCAGCAATGCGCCAACGCATTGATAGACGTGGATCTCCGCACCCAATATGGCGACGGACTCTGCGGCTACAAATAGTGGCACGAGATAGGAAAACAGCGAGGATGCCGATGCGCCAATTTCGTTTGTGCCGAAGTTTAGCAGGTGAAGATAGAGCGCACCCATGCCAACCCCGACGAAGAGGATTGAACCCCAAACTTTCCAGGAGTAGTCGAACGGTGCCGGCGTGCTGACCTCGTAGGCAACAAAAACAGGCGATAGAACCAGGGTCCCAATGATGAGAAGCACAAACAGACCCTCCTCAGGTTTGGGATGCAATTCCCATTTCTTGAGCAGCACAAGATAGAGACCACGGAAGGTATTGGACGCGATCATCAACAGGAAAGCCAGATGCGGATTGAAGTCGGCAACGTTGGACAGACTGCCCCGGAAGGCAAAGACCAAGGCGCCTGCAAGTGCGAGCGCGACACCCAGATATTGCACGCCTTGCAGCCGCTCGCCCAGCAGCAGTGCGGAGAACAGGATCGTCAGGAGTGGAACGCTCGTGTAACCGGCCCCAAGATCAATCAGATCGTTCGACCGCAGTGCCAGATAGACCAGCCAAGGCGTGAACACCACGCCCACGATTGCAAGTACCGTTATGCGAAGACTGTTACCGCGAAAATAGCGCCATGGGTTGCCTTGCCTTTTGAGAACGAATGGCACCACGCAAATGGTGGCGATCAGGCAGCGCCAAAAAGCCAGCACAACCGGCGGGACCTCATTTACCGCCAGGTTGCCAAACACAAAATTTCCGGCACTGACAAGCATGGCCAGAAGCAGTGCAAGATACGCCAGGACAATCTTGTTGTTTTCCATCACGTCAGGAGAACATAGCCTGCTCAGGGCGCAAAGCGCTAAAGCGTATGCAGGGTTTTGTGAAAGGGCGTGTTTTTCCGGAAACCGGAGCTCGGCAACCGGAAATAGATGACAGAGGAGAGTTGCCGACACTGACCGAGTTAACTTCTTTTTGAAGGAGGGGCTGGTTCAGTGAAACTTGCTGAGAAAGGGCACATATCAGATGCTGATCATCAGCCGTCGCACTCCAGCGCAGCTTCTCCTGAGCGGGTATCTATTTCAAAGAAATAGATACAGTAATTTTACGGGCCGCGACCAGATTTGAGTCTTCAATAACTTCAAAGAAACAAAAACCAAGTCGGGTTAACAGGAGTTATGAAAGTCGAAGGAATCAGTTTTACGGCTGGGTAAACGACATCAATACCAACGTAACATTCAGGTCGTTGTGATCGTTCGGAAACTTGTCCACAGGTCTTGTCTTTTGCGAATGGGACTTGTTTGCCAAGATTATGTGTCACGGCTCGGGGCAAAATATCCCGTTCACATCGAAGAGACCTGACACCCGGCTTCTTTGATAGACCGGGTGTCAGGTGTTTTTGTTTGGGTTGCCGTGTTAGGCGACGAGATCGATATAAGTATAGGTCTCCGGAGTATAGACCCACTCGCCATTGTCGTTGGTGATCAGCGTGATCTCGGTCGGCTGGTCAAAATTGTCATTCTTGTCGAGAACAGCCAGGGTTTCACTGTTGTAGTTGTCAAAGAGAGTCCAGTCGTTCTCCCCTTCGATCCACGTCAGGGTGGCGCCGTAATCAACATTCGATGAGCTATCGGCATAGGACAGTTCGTCGATCACGATCGTGTCGGCTCCGGCGCTGAAGTCTGTGATGTGTGCGGAACCGCCGTTCAGGACAAAAGTGTTTGACCCTCCGGTACCTGTCCAGGTGTTGGAACCACCTGTCGAAACGAGCGTATTGTCCTCGTCGCTACCAATGATCGTGTCCCCGAATTCAGAACCAATGAGGTTCTGGACGTCCCAGAGATAGTCCTCGTGAAATCCTTCCAGGTCCTGGGTAACCGTGAAATGGGTGCCATGCGACGGGTTATCTGGGTCAATCGACAGTACCGTCATGTCGGCATTGATGGCGCCGAACGCATATTGATAAGTGACCGTGTCCTCACCCGTTCCACCAAACACCAGGTTGTGGCCAGTTCCCGTGGCGAATAAGTTGTTGCCTGAGAACCCGTAGAACTTCGCACCACCGCCTGTCGCGGCGTTGATCGAGTCACCAGTTACGTCAAAACTGAACAGGACATCGTTGTGTTCGGTCCCCATGTAGGTTTTGTACGTGGAGTCGCCGAACATGTGGTTCCCGTTCCAAGCGCCAAGGAACATGTAGCGTCCCGCACCAATGTCGTCAGAGAAGGAGCCGATGGAAGCGATGTCAGACGCATCTACACTGAAATCATTGGTTGCGTCACCGCTACCAACGGTCAGACCGTCGGAATCCATGATAAGCACGCTCGACAATAACGCTTCCCCGAAAGCTTTCTTTTCGATCGAGCTCAGCGAACCCGAGGTACCGAAAATCTCTGCCGCCGAGGCAAAGTCGACATAGGCAAGCACAGTATTCGAGTTGTAGTCATAGATGGTCAGATCATGGCCGTCCGCTTCGACTTTCACGGCAAGGTTGGTACTGCCTTCCGCGTTCATCGGTAGCAACAGCCTGTCCGTCAACGGGTTGAAATCATAAATTTCCGTTGCCTCGAACACGGGATAGTCCGTGGTCTCGACGACCTGCGATGGGGTGCCTCCCACCAACGTGCTGATAAGGTCTGTTCCGGCCGTGAGCATCATGCCCCAAAGCGGATTGGTTGCGCCCAGTTCTTCTATCGCCCAACCGAAGAAGTTAGAGGTGGTGTCGATGGTGGTATCCGTAACCAGGCCCATCTGCCATTCGGACATGGACGACGTCACAGTGGTTTCCGAAGGTGGAATGTTTCCTATGACAACAGTATCAGTGCCAGAGCCGAGCATTATCTTGTTGGAGTTCGTCGTTCCGTCGAGGTTGTTTTGATCGACAACGACCCAATTGTTACCGTTGCCGAGCACAACTGTGTTGCTGCCCTTGCCGGTAACAATGAAATCATCTCCGGTCCCGCCGAAAAGTGTCGATGAGCCGCTGCCGCCGTCAATCCGGTTGTCGCCACCGACACCATAGATGATGTTGTCGCCGCCAACTCCGTTGATGGTATCATTACCTTCACCACCGATCAGAGTATCACCGTAGTTGCCGCCGGTGATGTCATTTCCAAAGTCACCACCTTTGAAGATGTTGTGAAAATCGTAACTCTTTCCGGTCGCGCTTGTATTGCCCTGCCAATGGTTTTTGGTCACGCCCTGGTAGGTGACATAGTCTTCGGCGTTGCTCGCGTCGATCGCGGTGTAGAGGTAATGTGTTTTCAGATGATGCCAGCCGTTCTTGCCGCCATTGGAATAAACCGGGTCAATCAGACTTTCAGCATCGATCGTCAGCTGATCGGCGTCGGTAACAAGCAGGCCGGCTGAGCGCAGTTCCATTTTGTCGTAGAATGCAAGACCCGTCTGATGCCAGTCCGTGCCGACCAGCAGTTTCTCTTTGGCCATCGCAGTGAAGTCACCATCTCCCCACCGGCCACTCACGGTTGGTCCACCATCCAGGGCATAGCCCGCCAGTGTGTCCAGTCCGAGTGTTTGCAGCCTCGTCCATTGACTGTCGGAATAGAAACTCTCAGAAGAGCTCATTGCAGTTGACGACAGCATTATCGACTGGAATTCAGTCGAGGCCGGGGCAGACCCTGGCTGAAGTGGCTGCACGGCGATCAGGCCGTTGCTGTCCTTGGAGGCCGGAACAGGGCCGAGCGGCAGGGGATGCACCGCAGTCAGGTCATTGTCCTCCGGCACGTCTGTACCGCACATCGGAGACGGCATGATCGGTTGCACGGCGACAAGCTCTTCTCCTTCGCCGGTGGCGAATACCGGGCCGAGCGGCAGGGGATGCACCGCGATCAGGTCATTGTCATCCGGCACGTCTGTACCGCACATCGGAGACGGCATGATCGGTTGCACGGCGACAAGGTCTTCTCCTTCGCCGGTGGCGAATACCGGGCCGAGCGGCAGGGGATGCACCGCAGTCAGGTCATTGTCCTCCGGCACGTCTGTACCGCATTTCGGAGACGGCATGATCGGTTGCACGGCGACTAGGTCTTCTCCTTCGCCGGTGGCGAATACCGGGCCGAGCGGCAGGGGATGCACCGCGATCAGGTCATTGTCTTCCGGCACGTCTGTACCGCATTTCGGCGACGGCATGATCGGTTGCACGGCGACAAGGTCTTCTCCTTCGCCGGTGGCGAATACCGGGCCGAGCGGCAGGGGATGCACCGCAGTCAGGACATTGTCCTCCGGCACGTCTGTACCGCATTTCGGAGACGGCATGATCGGTTGCACGGCGACAAGGTCTTCTCCTTCGCCGGTGGCGAATACCGGGCCGAGCGGCAGGGGATGCACCGCGATCGGGTCATTGTCTTCCGGCGCGTCTGCCACGTTCGGCCGGCATGATCGGTGCGACAGGTCTTCTCCTTCGCCGGTGGCGAATACCGGGCGAGCGGCGGGATTGCCACCAGTCAGGTCGACCCTGTCATCCGACGCGTCTGGCACTACGCATTTCGGAGACGGCATGATCGGTTGCACGGCGACAAGGTCTTCTCCTTCGCCGGTGGCGAATACCGGGCCGAGCGGCAGGGGATGCACCGCGATCAGGTCATTGTCTTCCGGCACGTCTGTACCGCATTTCGGCGACGGCATGATCGGCTGAACTACTTCGATATCATCGGTCATTCTGATTGCCTCGTTTGAAGTATTGATCGAGTTTGTCTCTACGGTCTGGGAACCGGTTTCAATGGCATTTTTCATTTGAATTCTCCTCGCTAGTCTCATTCGTTTTCATGTCTGGATCGGCTGTTTCTTTCACCGCCAGGCATAATCGAAATGTAGTTTCCCGAGTTCTCGATCTCAACGGGAAAAGAACCTCTAACTTGTTACAAAGTATGACGAAATTAACTTCTGGTAATGATTGAATATGCACATAAAAAGCCGGCGTCACTTATGACGCCGGCTAACTACCTGGGCAGTTCGAGTAGTAGCTCCTAGAAGGTAACGCCTCGGCGTGTTTCCTGCTTACATTTCACGGAAGGTTGTGCGGACCTGCTTGCTCAGCGGGTCGAGAAGATATTCGAACATCGTACGTTCACCGGTCTCAATATAGACCTCAGCCGGCATGCCGGGCAGCAAGTGAAGCTCACGCTCAGCCAGTAAATCTGTGGCGTCCTCGTCTAGCTCGACACGTGCCTCGTAGTAGCTTACTCCCGTCATGGGATCGGTCTTGAGGTCCGCCGACACGTATTCGATCTGTCCGCTCAAGCGCGGGACTGTCTTCAAGTCGAAGGCGGCGATCACGAGGCCGGTCTGCTGGCCGACGGTGACATTGTTGATGTCTTGCGGCGCGATGGTAGCGTTGATTACCAATCCATCGGCCTCGGGTACGATCCGCATAACGGTTTCGCCAGGTGATACCACGCCGCCGACGGTGTGAACGGCAAGTTCGTGCACGATACCGTCAGTGGGTGCGCGGACATCGACACGGGCAAGTTGGAGGCGCGCGGAGGCTCGGCGTTCCTTGAGCTGGTCGATTTCGATCGTAAGATCGGCAATCTCGTTCATCACCTGCTCTTGGAAACTCTTTTCCAGTTGCAGCAGATTGATCCGCGTCTCGCTGATGCGACCCCTCGCGACCGCAATCTGCGAAGTATGTGCACCGCTGCTTCCAGTGAGACCACTTCTTTCCCGCTTAAGCGCCGTGATCCGCGTTTCGGGTGTGAGGCCTTTTTCGAGCAGGATCTGAAGACCCTCCAGTTCGTGGTCTATGAGCGCGATCTCCTCGTCTTTCGCGGCGCGTTGTGCCTCAAGGCCCGAGATTTCCTCCTCGGTCTGAGCGAGTTGTTCTTCCAGCGCGGCAATCCCGCCGTCTCGGGAAATTCTTCTTGCCTCCATGACCGCGCGCTGAGAGGCCAGGGCGCGTTTCACTTTGACTTCTGCTATCCGCGCGTCAAGTTCGATCGACGGAATGAGGTCTTTGAGACCGTCCCGTTCTGCCTCGAGTCGCGCGGCCTGGGCTTCAAGGGCGATCAACCTGTCGTCAACAAGGGCCAGGTTCGCCTTCAGCAGTTTGTCATCCAGGGAAAGGACGATGTCGCCGGCGTTGACCCGGTCGCCATTGCGCACGCGGATGTCTTCAACAATGCCTCCGTCCGGATGCTGGACGGCCTTGAGGTCCGAGGCGACAACAACATTCCCGGATGAAACGACAGCACCCGACAGCTTGGCGGTTGCCGCCCATCCACCAAATCCGAGAGTAAGGATCGCCGTGGCGAGGACGCCGAGGCAGATTGCCCGACCGGACCGGTCGACGAAAGCGCCTGTGCAGGATTTAGTGTTCTCTGAGGTAGTCATATCTGTCTCCTTGAATTTCCCGATGTCTGACTTGTGATCACCCGTTGGCTGCCGGTGCTGCAGTTCCAACGGAAGATCGGATATTGCCGCTGATGCTTGGGCCGAAACCGTTCGCCGCCGGCCGGGTTGGCCTTACCGCCTCCTGATTGCGGTTGCGCATGCGATTCATCACCTCGGCACGCGGGCCGAAGTCGACCGATCGCCCTTCCTCTATGACGAGGATCTTGTCGACCGCGCCCAGAACGCTGGCACGGTGGGCAATGACCACCACGATCGCGCCCCGTGCCTTGGCGGCGAGAATGGCGTGGTTCAGAGCAGCCTCGCCTTCGGTGTCCAGGTTCGAGTTCGGTTCATCCAGAACCACCAGAAACGGATTGCCGTAGAGCGCACGGGCCAGGGCGATGCGTTGACGCTGACCGCCAGAGAGGGCGGCGCCCCGTTCCCCGACCTCGGCGCCATAGCCCTCCTTGAGACCCGATACCAGTTCATGGACACCTGCAGCCTTGGCAGCGGCGATCACTGCTTCGTCTTTAGCCTCAGGATCGAAGCGGGCGATGTTTTGGGCGATTGTGCCGTCGAATAGCTCCACGTCTTGCGGCAGGAAGCCGATCTGGGGCCCGAGTTCCTCTGGCCGGTATTGGTCGATCGGAACACCGTCGAGGCAGACGCTGCCCTTGACCGCGGACCAAGACGCGACAAGGGTCCTTGCCAGCGAGGATTTGCCGCCGCCCGTAGGGCCGACAACCGCAAGCGCTTCGCCGGCCTCGAGATTGAAGGCAACGTTTTTCAAAACCGGAGTGTTGGTTCCCGGCGGCACGGCAACGACGCCATCGACAGTCAAACTCCTTGCCATCTTTGGCAACGAGATCCGGTCGGAAGAAGATTCGTTCGACAAACCCGACCTCAACTGGCGCCAAGCTCGCTGTGCGCCAACCAGTCCACGCCAACCACCGACCAGGGTCTCGATTGGCTGGAGACCACGCGACATAATGCTGGATGCAGCAATCATGGACCCGGCGGAAATCAGATTGTTGATTGCGAGATAGGCGGCGACCGCGAGAATTGCCGACTGCAATGCCAGGCGGAATGTCTTGGTAATGCTGCTAGACAGGTTTACGGTATTGGCGGAGCGCGCGCTCGCAGCAAGATAGCGATCGTTAAGGCCTTGCCAGGCACCGGTCAGATGACCCTGCATACCCATCGCCCGAACCAGTTCGGCGTTGCGACGCCCCGCTTCGGCAAGCCGTGTGCGTTTGCTGGAGTGTTCTGCTTGAACGCGGGTGGAGGCACGAACAATCAAGTCTGTCGACACGGCTATGGCTAAGAGCACGACTGCACCGACAATACCCACCATTCCCAACCAGAAATGCAAGGCGAAGACGAGGCCGAGATAGACCGGTATCCAAGGAAGGTCGAACAATGCAGTCGCACCCGGACTGGACAGGAAAGAGCGGATCTGTTCCACATCTCGGATCGCAGAAGAGGCATAGCCCGGTGTCTGGCCGGGTTTCGGTGCCGAAAGTGTGGCGTTGAACGCGGTCGCGGTGAGCCGCTGTTCGAAACGGTGCCCCGTGGCGACCAGCACGCGGGAGCGGGCCGCATCAATTAGCCCCATAAAGAGGTAAAGGCCGGCCATCAGAGCGCTAAGCGCAACCAGAGTGTTGATGTTCTGGCTGGTCAGCACACGGTCGTAGATCTGCAACATGAAGATCGGACCGGTCAGCATCAACAGATTGACGATGCCGCTGAAGAATCCGATGGCAACAAGATTGCCCCTGAGTGCCCGCCTGGCACTGCCAAGCTGGGAGTTGATGGTAGACTGCGTGTTCATGACTGCCTCCAGATAACGGGTGTTGTTGGCCCTATCTGGATGTCCGTATCGGTCAAACCAAGGCTTTGTCACACTTTGATTCAATTGGCAGGTTGAAGGAAAAGCTGGTCGCAGATTGAAACTGCAGATCAGGTGATAGACTGTTTGGACTTAATTTCAGTACAACGACATGCCTTAGCGTTACCCGATTGGTTTATGCTAATGGTCAAGAGGGTGCAGAGCCCTGGCTGCCTTGCCGCTCGAGTCTGTGCACCTGCCGAAGCCGGGTCAAGTCCTGGTCCTCATGGGTACACAACTCAAGGGAAACCTCTACAGCGATGCGTTGGGCCAATCTGACACTCCGTGGGCAAGTGACGTTTGTAGTCATCGCCAGCTGGCTGGTGCTCGAGGTTATCTCAGTACTTCTCGATGTGGTTCAAATCCGGCAAGCGAGATTGGAGGAATTGAAAAACCGCGGTGATGGTTTCCTGAGAGAGGTTGTGACAACACTGGGCAAAGTGCCTCCTGAAGACCGCGTCAAACTTGCCCTTAGCCTGAATAATGCGGAACGCAGTGTTGTCATCAACGCGGAAGATACTGCCGCATCGGTCGCTGGCGGTCGCAGGTATCCAGCAGTCGCCGAGTGGTTCAAGTCCCGCCTTGAGGCACAGGGGATCTCTGTGGCGGCGCTCTCAGTCGCTGACCGGGTCGTCAACACCAATGCAAAACAAAAAGACGACTTTGCCAAGTCCTCAGGACTTGGAGGGCTCCAGGAAGGCGCGGCCAGCGAGGCCCCAGTCAGGCCAATCGTCGGTGTCTACTCGGTGCGCTTGGCTGACGAGACAATTTGGATCAATTGCTACCTGCTCCTTGCGCCGGAGAATTTCTGGCCCGTTCTCTTCGCTCGATCCGTCGATAGCCTGATAGGCTTGGTACTTGTTGGACTGCTCGCGCTTCTCATTGGACGTGTCATGGCTCCGCTCAGCGGGCTTGCGGAGAATGCCGAACGTCTCGGTCGGGGTGAAGAAGTTGGAGCGCTGAAAGCGACGGGAAGTGCGGACATCCGTGACACAGTTACCGCCTTCAATCAGATGGAGGCCAGGATCGTGCAGGCATTGGAGTACAAGACCGCCTTGCTCCGAAGTCTCGGTCACGATCTCAAGAGTCCTCTCGCCCGACTGAAGGCGGAAATGGATCATAAAACTTCCACATCCACAAAATTGCAGCTCCACAAGCAACTGGAGAATGTGGAGGAGATCGTCAACGCGGTCACGACCTTCACACGCGAAACCCGGCGGGACGGAGATGTCACCCGCATCGACCTGCCGTCGCTTTTGGAGGTTCTGGTTGAAGAACAACAAGACGATGGTCATGACGCCACGCTGGTCATTCAGTCAGCCGCAATTGTCTGCGGAAGACACAACGCCCTGACACGCGCCGTTCGAAATCTGATCGAGAATGCCATCAAATACGGGACTTGCGTACGTGTCACTTTATCGACGGCGGATGGATCGGCGGTGATTTGCGTCGAGGACGAGGGGCCGGGTATCCCGCCAGAGCAAATGGACGCCGCATTTGAACCCTTTCAGCGGCTCGGCGCGAGTGGCCCCGGCAGCGGTCTGGGGCTATCCATCGTGCGGGCGATCATAGTTGATCAGGGTGGCTCGATAACCCTCGCAAATCGCTCGGTGGGAGGGTTGAGCGCCAGTGTGTTCCTACCTAATGAAGGCTGACATCAGCCAACACGAAACACATAGCCTTGGCCCCAAACGGTCTGAATATGCACCGGGTTACCCGGATCCATCTCGACTTTACTTCGCAGACGCTTGATGAGTGCATCTACACTACGGTCGCCGGCACCACCGTGCTGGCGAACACGGCCAACCGCCAGAAGGTCTTCCCGAGTACAAAGCACATCTGGGTTCTCCGTGAAAAAGCGCAAGATCTGGGCCTCGCTCGATGTCAGCGTTATGAGGCGCCCATCGTCGTGTTTCAGATGTCGCTCGTTCTCGACAAGTTCCCATGCACCGAACTGAGTAAGCCGGGTTCTGCTCGCCTGGTTGCTCTGTCTGCGGCGCGAGAGCGCCCTTATTCGCGCCAGAAGCTCCAGTTGATTGAATGGCTTAATGATGTAGTCGTCTGCTCCCAGTTCAAGCAATGCGATGCGTTCTGCGTCATCTTCGATAGAGCTGACCATTATGATGCCTGCATTCATTCGAGTGGCAATTTCGCGGCAAAGAACCTTTCCGCTGGTCCCAGGCATCATCAGATCGAGCAGAAACAAATCGTAAGGGTTGTCGGCAATCATTTGCCGGGCAGCGGGCACATTGGGTGCGTGTGTAACCTGGTAGCCCTTGTCTATCAGAAAAGCGCAAGTTTCCTGTGACAGGTCGAGGTCATCGTCTACCATCAAAACACGAGCGCTTTGCCTGTCTGCTTCTTCAGTGACTTCGTTCATGCCAACCACTCCGCAGCAGGAATAGAATAATCAAATAACAGCCTCTTGGAGTATTCTGTCAATCTTGCGGCGTCCGCAATAGATCGAAATCGTCGCTTGTCTTGAGTAAGACCGCGAATTGTGAACAATCATGAAACAACGGCACACGCAAAGCAACGAACCCGTTGATTCAGTGAAATTCGGACGTGATGCCCGACCTTTGGAATGAACCTCTCAGTCAAGTTTGCCATTCGTCAAAATCCGACAAAGCCATAATCGCTTGTAAAGTCTTGCTAGCTGTTGAATTGTACTATTGGTGCAAAACACTCAATCCTGCACACGGTTGTCCATCGGAACCCGGAGTACACCAGTTGAACTACGAGTTTGAGGAGTGGTACGAGGTCGCTCGACCGTTCTATCAGGTTCTGCCTCAGGAGCCAGAGGTTGACGCTGGAGTCCAGCTGAAGGCGAAGGCTACCGAAGAACTCCTTCTTACCCAATTGAAAGCACCCGCTCAGGTGCTCGTTCACGACCCCGCAATCCAGAAAGGCATTTGCCACGAATACTTGCTCTTTGAGCGATTTCTGATGGGCGGTGGCTGGGGTGAGGTTGGAGATGTTGTTTTCAACGTCATACCGGAACGTCTACACCTCATTGACATGTCGCAACGCTATGTTTCGCGAAAGCAGCGCAGCGAAAGTCGAGGCGTCCTTATTCCGCATGCTGCGGTGGGCTTTATCCCAGGGAAGGACCCCGTATTTTCGTCCGTCGATGTCTCGTCCCCGGCTGGTCGTATCCTTGCCGTTGCGCACGAAGTGCTGCTGTCGGCGTCAGATGAGGCACAGGGTAATAGCAGGCTGGCGATAACCAGGGCTTTTCTCGACTTGATCTGCTGCCTAATGCTCGGCCGGCATGCCGGCGACGCTCCATCCGTAGCCGCTGAACAGACGCTCGAACTTCGGACCCGTGAATACATTATGTCCCATCTGGATAGTCATGAGCTTGGCGTCCAAACGTTGTCACGAGCCTTCGGCGTCTCGCGCGCGACCGTCTATCGGCAATTCGCGGATGAAGGTGGAATAGGGCGTTACATTCGCAATCGAAGGCTTGATCGCTGCTTCTTCGAACTTGCTGGCAAGAAACCAACCCGTGGCTGTATAAAGGCAGTTTCCGGACGGTGGAATTTCCACGACCCTAGTCATTTCAACCGCCTGTTCCGGGCGCGTTTCGGCATGTCACCTTCTGATTGCATGGCAACATCCGCCGCCTCGCGCGCATTGCCCACGGTTAACGTGACGCGCCTCAGTCGCACCTGGCTGGACCAGATAAAACGCGGCTAGCCGCTCAGCCAACGGCGAAGCCAAATTGAGACGCCAACCCAACAGTATTGAGATTGGTGTCTCATATACGGAAAACGGACGAACCTTTACACTCAAGGCATCACCATTGATCTCTGCGGTGCGCGAGATCAATTAGACTTTCCTGTTGTCTGTTCCAGGCAGGAGGCGTCGGCAATGAAAATGATTCAAACTATTTTTTGGAGATTTGTAACAATGCGCGCTGGTTGTGGATTGGCTCTCGCACTTGTTCTTGTGACACCGTTCGAAGATGCCCATGCACAAAATGCCTCTGCCGGCGAAGAGAGTCTCAATTCAAAAGTCTACCTTCCCTATCCGCCTGGCATTCTACCTCCGGATCTGACCGCCGAAATCGAGCGCGTGCGCAGCGAGGTGAGCGAAGCATTCAGGCGAGCTATGGCCGATTGGAGGGCCATGGATCCTCCGAAACCGGACGGAAATCCGATGGTGCTTGGCGCAAACGGCTATCAGGCAGTTGGCTTACTCGGCGAACTGCTAAATTATGACGAGAGCGTTTCAGTTGACGGCAATCTGGCCTGCGCCTTCTGTCACATGCCATATTCAGGTTTTTCGGGATCAAGCCAATCGATCAACCTGACAATGTCCGCCTACCCAGGTTCATCTCACTTTCGCAGCGTGGATCGGATACCGATGCGTTACACCTATGCATCCATGTTTCCGGTTCTGCAATACAATGCAACACAGCAGGACTTCTACGGCGGCAACTTCTGGGACGGCCGAGCAACCGGATTGATGCTGCAAAATCCGAATGCCGAGCAGGCCACCGACCCACCAGTAAGCGCCGGTGAAATGGGAATGCCCGATATTGCCTGCATCGTTTACCGGATCGACCAGTCAGACTACCGGCAACTGTTTGAGACTGTCTGGGGCAAAGGCTCTCTCGACATCGCCTGGCCGGCCGATGTTGAAGAAATCTGCACCACACCTGCCGGTGCTGTGCGCTTCGGCAACGACATGATGCCTGTCAAACTCAGCTCCGATGACAGGCTGAGGGCTAGCAATGCCTTCGACCATTGGGGACAGTCATTGTCCTTCTATCCGTCCGGGCCCGCCGTCAGTCCGTTCACTTCGAAATTCGACGCGTTTCTGGCCGGCAGCTACACCATGACACCGGACGAACAAGCCGGCTACAAGCTGTTCGGCGGCAAGGGTAATTGCAATTCCTGTCATCTCGACGGACGGTCATCAGTCTTGGAAAACGGAACAGTTGATTCCGGAAGCATCACCGATGCAGCTCCGCTGTTTACTGACAAGACTTATGTCAATCTTGGTCTGCCGCTCAACCCGCGCCTGCCATTGTTTTATGAGAACTCTGCAGACAGCTACGGCTTCGTTCCAAACCCAGCTGGCTTCGGCCACCGCGATCTGGGCGTGGGAAACTTCTTGCGAAGCGTTAACGGTGTGAATCCCAACGCAAGTTGGCTCGTTCTGGCTCCGAATTTCGATGGAACATTCCAGACGGTGACTGCCCGCAATGCGGCGTTGACACCATCAAGCTGCCCGACCACAGACGCAGGCCGCGTCGATGCCAATGGCAATCCAGTTCCCTACTTTCAAAAGAGTTTCTTCCATAATGGGTACATCAAGAGCCTTAAACAGCTTGTCCATTTCTATAATACTCGCGACAAATATGCCTATCCGGTAACATCCGGGCACTGTCCGGTAGGTACGACGGAACGGGTGGACTGCTGGCCGAAGCCGGAAGTACCGAACAACGTCGACGATACAATCGGCGATCTGGGCTTGACTGATCGGGAAGAGGATCTGCTGGTCGCATTCCTGGAGACATTGAGTGATGGATACACCACGCCTTATCCGAACCAGGATCTCTTTACAGGCGAGTGCCGTAAGGGAGGATCGGCTGCAACACCGGGGAACGAGACTCTGATTGCAACACCGGATCTGCCTGCCTGTTCGTCGCGGATTTGCGATGTCGATCCGGTGCCAGAGCCACCCATCAAATAGATTATAAGGTTGCTCTAGCGCAAATCAGACTCGAAAGGTAGACCATGCCCGTACGATCCAGGCACCGTCAGCTAGTTGTCTCTTCTGTGGTCGCGCTTTTCTTCGCCTTATTGCCGGCAGGCTCTGGCGCAGCCGAAACTCTTGTCGACCCTCCGGTTGCTGCACGTCCACTAGAACCGAAGCCGGGTGCCGCTCCTACGGCGCGCCAGAACGTGTCGATTGGACTCACCGTCACCTATCGGGAAGGCCAGGTCTGGAATCCCAATACCCAGTCGGCTGACAAGGTACGGTTACGTTCCTACATATCTCCGGATGTTGAGGCTGCAGGTCTTGTCGGTCCGACAATTGAAGCAAGGCCTGGTGATACGCTTCGTGTTCATCTGAAAAACGATCTTCCGGCAGATGACCCAAGTTGCGAGTCCATCCCTTCCAACATCAACATTCCTCACTGTTTCAACAGCACCAACCTTCACACGCATGGTCTATGGGTCAGTCCTGCCGGAAACAGCGACAACGTGTTGTTGATATTTCGACCTGGCATGTCGTTCGACCATGAATATGCAATCCCAGGTGATCATCCTGCAGGCACTTTCTGGTATCATCCGCATCTTCATGGTTCGACTGCCCTTCAGGTGTCCAGTGGCATGGCAGGTGCTCTGATTATTCGTGGCGACCGGAAACCAACAACCGACTCCACCGGTGATCTCGATGTGCTCTTGCGACCAGCGGGAACACAGGGATTCAACGAACGTATCCTGGTTTTTCAGCAGCTTGCCTATGCCTGCCGCGACAAAAATGGAAGGATAAAGACCAAACCCGAAGACGATGTGACAGGTGCATGGCTCTGCGACGATGGCGATGTCGGCGAGGTCGAAAGCTATCTTGGGCCCGAACCGCCGTCGCAGTTCGGCGGGGGCGTCTGGCTGGATTCCCTTCGGCACGTTTCAATTAACGGGGTGGTGGTACCGACCATTCGGGTTGAGGAGACCGGTATTTTTGAGCGTTGGCGAATGATCCACGCCGGTGTACGCGATACCGTAAAGATTGAAATTCACAAGATGAACGACGAGGCGCCTGATCCTCGCAATATCGGCGGCGCCGACATGCCTGCATTCATTGCCGAGCATTGTATTGGTTCAGACCTTCCGGTCTTTGCGGTAGCCGCAGACGGCCTGACACTAGACCGGGTGCAGGAAAAACGGCGCGTTGTACTGCAACCGGGATACCGATGGGATGCACTCGTCGCTTTCCCCGAACCCGGACGCTACTGCATACTGGACGGAGAGGATGGCCCTGGCGAAGGCCTCTCGCAGCTGGAAGAGGCTCCACCACAAGTGATTGCTGTAGCGGAAGTCGGAGGGGAAGCGCCCGCTCCGACGGGGGCCGAGGCGCTCCGAACCGCCCTCATCGCGGCTGCCAAGGCGAATATTTCCGGTGAAATCGGCAACACTATCGTCGCCGATCTGCAGGACGGTCTTCGTCTTTCGAAATTCAGCCCTCAGGAAAGTCTGCTCGAAGCAAACGTCGATGGTACGCAAGAGGTTGTGTACAACATCGACATCACCACTAATCCGGTCAGATACGAGATCAATGGCAACGTCTTTGATCCTGAGGATGTACGCTACCTGCCGCTCGGCGCGGTTGAAGACTGGATTTTATCGACGACATGGGATGGCCACCCGCATCATATCCACACCAACCCCTTCCAGATTGTCGAGGTGCTCGATCCGGAGGGCCAAGACGTCTCCGCACCGGATGCAATCGATGACTATACGGGCACTGTTGATCCCCAGTTTCGGGGGCTGAAGGGGGTCTGGAAAGACACCATCTGGGTTAAGAACCCGACCAAATCGGGGGCCGGAACCTACACTGTCAGGGTAAGAACCATTTACCGTCGTTATATCGGACGCGCCGTAATGCACTGCCACATTCTTGATCATGAGGATCAGGGTATGATGCAGATGATCGAATTTGTGCTGCAAGACGGAAAAGGCAGCTTGCTGCCCGCCGGCCATCCTGGCGGACACCATTGAAGACTTTGTTTTTCTGACGTGGATAAACGCTCAAGTTTCTATGTCCCCAACAAGAAACGTCGAAAGTTGAAACATCGGCTCTTTGGCCTGAACGGAATGACTGAAAACGCGATAACTCTTTTAGTCCCGGTGAGCTTCACACAGACTCCTGTTGTCCGCCATGAAAGCCAACTGTACCTGCAAAGAATGTCAGCTTTATAGTTTCGGACAAGGATTCGAGACCGACCGATTTGGCTAGGGTTTTCGGGTGCCGTCAGGCGTACGAAAGCCTCTCATGCAGGAAACCGCGGACAGCACATTCCAGGCTATGGGGTTTTGTTTTTCAAGGAAAATCTGAGGCAGTTCCAACCATCAGCAAATGGTGGGTAGACCGGGGTGTGCAAGGGCCTTACCGGCGTTGTCGCAGCGCTTGCGGCAGTGACGCTGAGCGGCTTTGGATGGCTGAGAGCCGTTGTCATTTCACAGTGCACAAGCCGTCCCTTTGGCCGATTCCGTTGCGGGGCGGCCGTTTGAGTGAATAGTCCATGCCGGGTCATGGCGCGGTCTCCCGGGTTGAAGCGGCGCAGTGCGGCGGTGCGCGGGGTTGTTGCCAGCGTGTGAAGGTCTCGATGATGATCATGTGCCCACCGCAGCAAGGGCATGGCGGCCGTGTGTCGGAAACCTCTGGTGCGTCATCTTCGGGTACTGGAGCGACGCTCAGCAATGCGCGTGCACGATCGAGACTGGCCTTGCGAGAGGTGCCGGCAAGATGGCCGTCGTGGCGAATGCAATGGAAGCCACGTGGCAGGACATGGAGCAGGAAGCGGCGGATGAACTCGTCGTTGGCGAGGATCATGACCTGCTGCCGGTCGTTGCTGTCACGGCGGTCATCCTTGTAGTGCAAGGTGACCCCGTTCTCGTTGAAGCCGATGAGGCGGCGGTTCGAGATGGCGACCCTGTGGGTGTAGCGGGCCAGATAGGCGAGCACCGCTTCCGCTCCGGCGAAGGGCGGTTTAGCGTAGATGACCCAGCGTTTGCTGCGGACAGGCTTGAGATGACGCAGAAAGACCCTGCGGTCCGCGAGTCGGGCGATTGATCCGAAGAAGGCGAGCTGTCCTTTATCGTGGAGCGCGATCAGTCGGGTCAGGAACAGCTTGCCCAACACGCGCACAGGCAGGAGGAATGCAGGGCGTGACGATACCCAGCGCGTTCCGTCGAGGGAGATGCCTCCGCCCGGCACGATCATGTGCACATGGGCCCTCTCGGGCATGCAAGCATGCCCTGCCGGATAATAGATGATGGGTCATCGCCGATCCCCAGGTATGCAGCACCGCGGTGATGCCGATGCGGGCGCCGAGATGCTTCGGGTCGGCGGCGATCCTGAGCACCGTCTCAGACGCCGCCCGGAACAACAGGTCGTAGACCAGCGCCTTGTTCTGGAAGGCGACGACGGCGACCTCGACAGGCAGCGTGAAGACGACATGGAAGTACCCGATAGGCAAGAGGTTGGCCTCCCGCTCGGCGAGCCAAGCGACCTCGGCCGCTTCCTGCACGGCACGATGCAATTGCCGCGACGAGATTGGATCGGTGCAGCTGCGTCCCGGAAACAACCAACCATGGGGCAGCATCACGCCGCGCCGTTTTCCTTCGCGCCACCACACCCGCAAAAGCTCCAGGAGTTGTGGTGAGAGCATGGCGTTGCGGTCCTTGCGTCCCTTGCCCTGTTCGACGCGGATCGGCATGCGGGTCGAGTCGATATCGTCGACCTTGAGATGCGCGACTTCGGAGACACCCAAGCCCGCGCCATAGGCGACACCGAGCGCTGCCGTGTATTTGATGCCTGGTGCTGCCTCAAGCAGGTGTGCGGCTTCCTCGACGCTCAGAACCTCGGGTAGTTCGCGCGGATTGCGGGATATCACCAGAGTCCGCGATAGATCCCGCCGGTTGAGCGTCACCGTGAACAAAAAAACGCAACGCCGCAACCGTGCTGTTGATCGTCGCCGGATCCACGCCGGTCTCATGCTGACGTAACTGGTAGTGCCGGATGTCCTCGGTGGTCGCGGTGTCGGGAGGACGGCCGAGGAAAGCGGCGAAGTTCCGGACGTGGCGAACATAATCTTGCTGTGTATGGGAGCCCAGGCCCCGCATCACCATGTCTTGCTGCATACGCTGGCGAAGCGGCGTGATCGGGGCATCGGTCTGAAAGGTCGTCATGGCGAGTTCCTCTTGTTGAAGGGAACTCGCCATGGTCTGCTGGCAGCTGCTACATGCCCACAGCCTCAGACAAATCTATCAATCCTCACCACGTGCGCCTTCCCGCGAAGCGGGTTCGTGCAAGGGATGAGCTGCTGCCGGTTTGATGGACTGCAAGTTAAGCTCGCATAGCATTCTCCTCATACTTTATTGGACTGAGATAGCCCAGTGTCGAGTGACGGCGCTTCGGGTTGTAGAAGCGCTCAATATAGTCGAAAAGATCGAGCCTGGCCTGATCACGGGTTCGGTAGACCTTGTTCCCGACCCGCTCAGTTTTGAGCGAGGAGAAGAAGCTTTCCATTGCCGCATTGTCCCAGACATTACCCGATCGGCTCATCGAGCAGCAAAAAGTTGGTAGAGAAAAACCCACCAATTGCTGGGAGAGCCTAGTAAAGCCCTCCGGGCCCATCTCAGGTGATGAAGCACGGCTTGAGGACGGCCTCGCCGCCGATTGCCATCATCGAGCGTCGGTCACCATCCTGTGCGGTCATCGTACGCTTTCGCGGCCCGGCCACCCGAAAAAGCGCTCAAGAGATCAAGCACCACAGCCCGGTGAACCAGCAACCAGGCGGTCCAGATATGAAAGTGAAGTCACCATGGCCATTTTGGTTCGGCCCTTCCGCCGCGAAGTCCCGGTCAAGCACATTCGGCGCGATGACGGGGCGTATTCCTTTATCTTTGGGAAGTTGACGCCGGCGCGGGCGAGCCCGCAGTCCCATGCAGGCGCATCAGCCGCTCTATGCGATGTAAGCCACAAGCGAAGCCTTCCTCGAGCATGTCGCGCCAAACACGCCGAGCGCCATAAGTTCGATCACTGAGAAGGAAGCTCACCCGCACACGCGGGCCAAGAGCCTCACCGCTTCTGGCCCGTGCACTGGGAGGCCGGACCAATCAGGCATGGAAGCCGCTCCGTGAGACACCGAGCGCCCCACACATCCAACTGACCGGCCAGATCCCCCGGTGCTTCGCTATAAACCCGAACACTAGAACTGGTCTTTGGCGAAGAAGGCCGCGGCTTTTTTTAGAAGGTCCCGTTCGGCTTTGAGCCTGGCTACCTCCTGCCGCAGTTGGCGGACTTCATCATCCTCCGGTCGTATCTGACCCTTGCCGGGAAAGGCTGTATCGGGATGAGCCCGGTGTTGCTGAACCCAACGGCGAGGTACTGTCTGGTGCAAATCAAGGTCCCGGGCCGCCTGGGCAACGCTCACGCCGCGCTCAGTGATCAATTGAACCGCCTCTTGCTTGAACTCGCGGCTATATTGTCGTCTCGTCATTTCTATTCTCCAGTTTCAAAAACACCTTATCTCGGCGTCCTCAAAACCGGCAGCAGCTCAGAACTCGCGCAGGCTCCTCGTGCATACGAAGTTGTGTCGCTTCATCCAGTTATTCTGTCGCGTTATGAGCAGCAGCTCGAGACTCTTCAGAAAGCGTTGGCAGAGGGAGTGCGATCAGGTGATAGCGAGTGCGCTGAGGCGATGCGCGAGCTTGTCGAAACAGTCACGGTGCATCGTGACCCGTCAGCACCTGGTGCCGTTGAGATTGAAATCAAAGGGCGCCTATCCGCACTTCTCGGAGAGGGACATTATCCTAACGGTGTGAAAGCGTCGGGGGATTGATGGTAGCGGAGGAGGGACTTGAACCCCCGACACGCGGATTATGATTTAGGCTCGACCCTCAATCATATCGCTGCGTGCCGACCTAGACCGTTTCGCGGACCGATTGATCGAGTTCAGCAAATAGACTTCGTTCTGCGTCAAACTTATCCAGTGCGTTGCATCTAAGCCCAGCAGCATTTGCACCCCTGTTGCAACCCAGCTAAATCCTGGAAATTTCTATGCGGGCTGAAACTCCTTTGTCGCAGGACGAACGTCGAGATTTCCCTCGTAGAGTGAAGTGCCTCCCTTTCCATCTGGTCGCAAATTTCGCAACCAGAGCCTCATATTCTCTGCGAGATGTTCGAAATACAATATGTGTTTCGTTTGCTCTCCAGACGTCGGCTTGAATAGCTTTGCGCCCTCGTTTCGTTGATCGAACGCTGCGTTCCTGGCGTCCTAAACCCAACTTCGAAATAAACCGGATGAACTACGGATGACCATTCTTAAGGGTCGGGTCTCAGGTCATGCTGAATGGAAGGCAATAATCAATTTTAGGTTGAAGGCGGGCTCTTCTAGTGAAATTATTACTGCAAGACAATTTTGGGGCGCGCAATATGAACACTCCTGAGTACCGTAATCTGGTATTGCAAATATATGATACGGTTTCAGACGTAGAATTGTGGCCATCAATATTAGATCGCATAACTGAACTTACTGGTTCGCGAGGTTGCATAATATTCGAGTGGCAGAAACGTGGTGAACTGAGAAGTCTCGAAGCTCCGCTGATTTCGACCAGCTATCAAAGAGGGTTGGTCGACGAATACATTCGGAGGTTTCACGAATATGAGACTCGCGATCACGATATGTTTGATCGCGCTTTGCTCCCGCGCGACGGCATAGATATTGTCTCTGAGGAAATCCTCTACGACAGTGAAGATGACTATCTAGCACGGCCGCACGTTCAAGAACTCGAGAAGCTAGGAATTAGATACCGCACAGGAGCACTTCTGGACAAAGACAATCCCTATCGTGCCCGGTTTTCACTCGCAATGACAGAAGAACGGGGGCCTTTTGTCGAAACAGACGTTGCGCTACTAAAGGAGTTGTTGCCGCACATCGCCAAAGCGCTCGAATTGAGTCGTTCGGTCAATTTGGGATTAAACGCTCGAGAAACTCTTTTGACCGTATTGGATCAGCTCACGGTCGGGATTTGTCTCCTTGATGGTGAGGGCAATCTCATTGTTTCAAACGAGGAGTTTGACCGACAGCGTGACAAATACAATGCTTTCCACATTGATGCTCGTGGCAAATTGTTGCTGAACGAATACGCAGACCGAAGGAAGTTTGCACAACTCCTTTCTGACGCGCTCAATCACGGCCGATATGGGGCGCGTCCTCGTAAAGAAGCAGTCGTATTCGAAAGCAGCGACGTCTCGGGAAGTCTTTGTATTGAAATCGTCCCCCTCGACCGGTCACGTGCGTCAGGAACGGCGCCGATAGGCGGAGCGTTGGTCATAAGTCGAGACACCGAAATGCAGATATCGATTGACCTTGATTTGGTACGGAATGTGTTTGAGCTCACAGGCGCAGAAGTAAGCATAGTCGAGCAGGTTTGTGAAGGTTTGACGAACTCAGAAATAGCACAGCGGCGCGAGAGATCGGTCGAGACCATCAATTCGCAACTAAAGACGATATTTAACAAAACGCGCGCGATCAACCGAACACAGCTGGTTCGATTGCTGTGCAACTATTCGCTGCCGAGCGCGATACTAATGCGCTGAACCTCACCCATATTGGGGATGCGGATACTCCGCTTCCGTGTGATTTCCAGAACAAACACTAGGAGGGACGCGAAATGAGGTTAAGTTTCAATATTCGGAAAGACCTCGGTGAATACGAGCCGTCAGATGATGAAGCGCAGCTGATTGATAAGATAATCGAAGCAAATGATACGATGCTGCCGCGGGGGTCAGGTGACGAGCGCTACAAACCTGGGATGCGCGCACAACATCCAAAAGCGCATGCGACAGTCGAAGGCACGTTTGAAGTGCTTGATCTGTCTAACAAGGAATCGTGGGCGCAGGTCGGCTTGTTTGGGCGAACCGGCACTTACCCGGTAAAGGCACGTTTTTCAAACAGCGCTTCATTCGAAGACAACCCTGAAAAAGGTGACGCACACGGGTTGGCGATCCGAATTGAAGGACCTGCCGACATCATAAAAGAACGGAAATTTGTCGATGCTGGTTCGGAGAACTCTATTGACTTCGTTTTGATGGACAACGAGACGTTTTTCGAAGGAGACCTTGAAAAATATGCACGGATTAACGATCTGGCAGCGGAAGTCGTAAACAACAAGAGAAATTCCAAAGACTGGTTGGCGAGCAAGATTAACGCAGTGAAGCTTGCTTTGGAGGTGAAGTTTTTCGATCGAGACCTTGGAAACGCGATCGAAGGCTCAAAGGATCAATTCCCAGATTCTCCACTGACGACCGCCTACTTCAGCACGACTCCTTACCTGTTGGGAGAGCATGCGGTGAAATATGAACTTCGTCCGTGCGACGTTAGCGAGCCAGCACCGAAACATCCCAAAAAAACGGATGACTATCTGAGCCATCAACTGTTCAAGGGACTGAGCGTTAAGCACCAGATCTTCGGTTTCTACGTCAAGCGTCAACGAAGTAGGTCTAAGCACCCAATCGAAGACCCAACAATACCTTGGGACGGTGCAGAAGAAATTCTGATCGCGAGACTTAAGCTTTCAAAAATCGCAGTGGCAAAGTTCGAAGATTGGAGACAGCCAACTTTGGATGGCGAGAATGTCGGCTACAATATCTGGAATACAATTCAGGAACACCGTCCTCTCGGTGCAATCAATCGCGCGCGCGGTATTGTATATGTTGCGCTGCAAAAGAAACGACACGAACTCAGTTTGGAGTAACCTTTCACAATTCAGATTTTTTGATCAACCTTGTATTTTAGGTTCTGTTGACAAAGTCGCGTAACCAGATGCGTGCGGCTGCGAGATTGAGGAAGGCGGCAAAGGATCTTTTGGTTTTGTCGTATCGGGTGGCGATCCTGCGGAACTGTTTGACCTTGTTGAACATTCGCTCGATCCGGTTCCTGTCCTTGTAGGCTCGGAAATCGCAAGGTTTCGGCTCCCTGCGGTTTGACTTTGGCGGAATGACCGGGCTGATACCAACGAGCAGCAAGCTTTGACGCACGACATCGCCATCGTATCCCTTGTCGGCCAGGAACAGTCGGGGCTTGCTGCAAGGCATCTCCAGAAGGGCGGGAACGGCACTGTAGTCGGAGATCTCGCCGCCTGTCAGGACAAAGCCGAGAGGGCGTCCTTGACCGTCTGCTCTG